CTATTAGGTTTTGGATGTGGGAAGGGAGTCATAGAATAACGAATATGCAAGTATTTGTTATAGGGGTTGATGGGATAACAGAAACAATTATTTTTGATGGTTTAGCATAACCTGCCGTAGTCAAAGCAAAGTTTTCTAGTTAAATAGTCTCAAAAATAAGATTCTTCAACAGAGGAGGAAATACAGTGGATTCAAATATGTCAATCATCAAAATTTAAGCTTATTATGCTTTTTGATGTTATCATTCCATATTAGAAGTTAATTATATATATTTCTTTAATCAATATTTTGTCTTTCTCAATCAATCGATAATCTTAATTGTTATTAAGGTTTGTTATATAATGATTTTTTGAAATTCTGAGAGAGAGAGAGAGAGAGAGAGAGAGAGAGAGAGAGAGAGAGAGAGAGAGAGAGAGAACGATAATTATATTTATATTTGATTACGTGTTAAACTCTTATATATAAATTCTCATATTAATTTAATTTATATGTATTATTTTGTTTTGGTTATCTTCCATTATAAGTATCTAATTATCATTAACACAAGAAGAAAGGTATTTCATTTGTTATTGAAAATCAGTTTGATTAAATTCCTATTTACAAAGAGAATATTTTGCAACAATAATTGCTTTTGGATTAAATCAAGTATTTTTATCGAGAAATTCTTCAAAATTGCAGGGACCTAAAATTCTTTAATTTTCCTAATAAAATAAACAATTATCATCCAATATTCCTCTTATTATAATTGATATTTAATCACCGCAATATTATTATTCTTTAGTTAAATCATAAATCAATTTTTTTCATAATTGATAATCAAAAATTAATATAGTAATGTTGTTTAATCTTAATTTGTGAAATATCTCATTGAGACCAAACTGCTTTTTTTCAATATTCAGAAGAAAAATTGAGCAATCTTCAATTATTTGTAATTATAATATCTATTAATTTAATAATTAATTTATTTCATTAATGAAATTCTAAAGCAAATAATATTAACAAGAAATCGTATTTTAAAAAGAGAATCTGATTTGTCAAAAGTTTAGCAACAACATATGTATTTTTCTATCAATCTCTGCCTGTAATTGATATTTTTTTATTTTTTTTATTTTGACCTTAATTTTGTCCCTTATACAGATCGAACTTATATTAAACTTGTTTCCACTTAAAAAATTATCATATTCATTGATTCCTAAAAAAATCAATCTTTTTACATTTTTTTTTATTTAACTAAATTTATTTGTATTAAAGTAGGATTATCAAAATTTCTATTTATTATAACTATATAGTTAAATGCATTCATCTCTTAAGTGATATCTTATAGTCATAAATATGTTTTCTTTCGAAATGGATTTGTCTAAAATTTAAATTATACATACCCCAGTTTCTTCACGTAAGGAAAACCAATCATACTGAGGATTAGATTTTTTTAATCTGAAACAATTTAGTTGAAAAAAATTGATTTAAATTAAAAATAAGGAAACTGAATAATTATTATAAAGAAGGACACACATTAGAGAAGTAAGTTTTGTTTTTAATAATATAAAATTTGAATAGAAAGAGGTTTAACAACAAAGCAATTATTCTATAAAAAGATTTGCAAGCTTATAAAATATTTTAATCATAAAAAATAAAATTTGTTTCTTTCATTCGAATGCCACATGGGATAATTCGAAATTACTAGGAATTCAAAAAAAATTCTATCAAAAAATATTTTTAAGCTATTAGAATAGGAATTAATGGAAGTTTGGTAATGGTTTGGAAAAAAATAAATTTCATTAAATCTAAATATAATTAGATTTTATAATTTTTGTTTATGAGATAATTATTCTCAAAGGAAAAAAAGTTAAATATAATAAATTTATTTGATTATCTTAAAAGAATGATAAAGACTCGAAGGACTATAGAATTATAGTTTATTAATAGGATTAAAGATTCAAATTTAAAAATAAATCTGTTTCTGTTAATTTCTACTTAATGAAGGATCAATCATTATTAAAAAGAGAGAATGTGTTAGAAAAAAGAAGTTGCATACAAATGTTACAATGTTTTGAACTTAGTTAAAATAATTATGTTATTAAATATGATAATGAACTCTAGATATTTTGGTAATTTTTGTTTGACTTAAATGAATTAAGAAGAATTGATATGAGATAAAAGTGTAAATTAACATAAATTATTTAGTTTATTCAAATATAAAATTATTATATATATTTGAATAAATGAACAATCTTTATTATTAATTTTGAGCAAATTCTATAGAAGAAAAAAGAAGTATCTCAAAAAGTTTAAATTAACTTTAAAACTAATTCATAAAAAGAAATTTTAATTAATCTTAATTAAAATAATTAAATCCAATATACTTTTGATAAAGGAATATTGAGAAGGTTAATCAAAATTTATAAAAATTGAATAGATTAATTGAACAAAAATGAATTAAGAGCAAGAGATGAGGCAGGTATAGTAAAATAATATGAAATAAATTAAATTACAAGTTTAATAAAAGAAAGGTAAATGTTCAATAATTATAAAGTAACAAAGCTTATTTATATGTAATTGAAAAAACTTCAATAAATAAAAAAGAGGGATTCGCAAGTTTATCTCTAAAAATTAAAAGATACATTATTAATAATTATATTTTTTGTTGTTATTGATCATCTAAAGAGTAAGGTCAGAAAGGGAAGTGGAATACTTTTTGTGACTAATTTTAGGATGGATTATAAATCACTTATGAGGGCAAATATAATAAAAAGTAGGTAATTGGAATGTTTTTTTTTAGATAAAATGATAAAGAATTTAACAAGATTTATTCAAATTTTCTTGCATTTTCTAATTTGTATCTCCTTTGATAAGACTTTCATAATTATTCAATATTAAAGTACAAATACCAGAAGAATATCCATCCAATATGTGTTAGCAAATTCATTAATTATTTTGATTCATCTATCATATTATTATTAACTTATCATTACCTCCAGACACACAGTGATTTGATTTTTTCATAAAGTTTAAAGTCTACACATATAATTAATGTTCACTTAAGAGTTGTAATTGATTTAATTTTGATTCTTTGAGTTCAAATAAAACCTGCTACAACAATTGAATTATCTTTATTAATAGCAATTGCAAAGCAAACGTCTTCTTACTTTTAAAGAGTTTTAATTCTTTAGTTCAAAAGTAAATGTTTAATATTTATGCGTTTACAAAATTTCTTTAACTATCTATTTAATTTCTTCAATTGATTAATTCTCCCATAACTAAATTAAATATAAACCTTTAATTTTGTTGTCAATCTATTAAAGTCCTAATTTAGGAAAATATGCCAAATTAATATTGTATATATTAATAAATTTATTTAGAAGACCATCAAGAGCTAATATACACTCCTAAGCCTTCTATTCAACATTCTGGACAATAAGGGCTCTCTTAAGAATCCAATCATCTAAAGTTCTAATGATTTTAATTTGTTCAAGAGGTGATCATGATGAGGCAGACAAAAATTACTATAGGGTCTTTAATATTGACAATCACTATCGATGCACACTCCTATTATTTTTTAATATAAATCAGCTTAAGTACTTCTAATTTACATTTTCTATTTCTATATAAAATAATTTTCAATAAATAAGTAATCATTTGTGTTTATAAAAATTCAAAATTACAATATAATACCATAAATTATATTCGAAACAAATAAAACAAGAGTATTTATAATAAATGAATGAATGGTCTAATTATTACAGAATAAAAAATTAAATTTAATGATTAGTAGTTAAATAGTTAAATATTGTTATTTTATAATATTCGAGAATTAAACAGGAAATTTATTTAGATCTCCTAAAAAAAGCCTTGGATTACATTAATATTATTTGATTTTTTTTTAGAAAGAAATAATGAAAAATGTAAAATTCATTTTAAAATATTTATTTATTGAAACAACTTTAAAACATATTATTTATGATTATTTATAATGATAATCACATTATAATATTACGTATAATTTTGTGTAATTAAAAAATTTCAAATTTAATATTTGACACAGATTTTTAACATCATTTGAAAAGAAATCCCAAGCCTTTATGGAAGAGAATTCAATAAGATTTTAGAAATATTTTTAAGTTATTTCAATCGATAAAGATGATTCATTCATTTTTGTAGCTAGTGACTCTTCTATCACTTTGTTTCAATTTAAATTTACTTAATTTAAATTGTAGAAGTCATAATAATTATGTCACCATTTCAAATAACTTTTAAAACAATTCTTAATTCATTGCAGGTTCAATGGATTCCAAAATTGTATTATGGTCTTTGAATCTCATGGCAAATGAAAATATTTATATATATTATAAGGGCATACTGAAATGATTATCTGTTAAGTTTTGTTACTAAAATTTGAGAATTTCATAATATCTTGCTCTAAGGATAATAAAATTCAGTTTTTGAGTATATCATAATGATAATAAAAATGGAGATATGTAGAAACAATAACAGATCATTTAGTTTCAGTTTTTAGCTTTAGCAACGAATATTGAAGTAAGTATTTATGATCAAGTGGATAAGATAATATAATTTTAGTAATTGAACAAAACAAATAATTGTTTTGAAAAATTAGATCAAAGATACAAGTAGATTAATTTTGCTATCCTCTTATTACATTTCAATCTGAAAAAAGCTCTCATTAGCATTTGTATAAAATTAATCAGATAGGAGAATTTTAATAAACAAAAAATAATGATGTTACTGAAGATAGTTAATATCGTCTTTTACTTTTTCCATTTTAATACAATTTCAGTAAGCATCTCATAGCCACAAAGAATGGATGAAACCTAAATATTATAAGGTGAATTCATGATCTTTTTTTATTATAAGAATCTATAAAATTTGCAGATTCATATATTTATGGGGTATTGAGTGATGATGGAGAATATTTATCACATGGGATAGTCAATCCTCAAATATTCTATTAAAAAATTCAAATGAAGAAATTGATAATTTAATAATGTATATTTTTATGTTATCTTATTTATTTTATGTATATCTATTAAAGATTAAAATCATTTTATTGTAATCTTTTTTATATATTCTCTAATTATAGATTATGATCTCTGCTAAATTTGATTATTTTCTCATTGAGTTCTTTGATGTTTGTTATTTTCTGGATTTATATAATTTTAAAGAATGTTACTGTATAAAACTAATAGTATATCTCTTCCATCATAAAGCAGAGATACATAATATTATATTTGATTTAAAAAATAATTCTGTTAATAGATAAAAATATGTTATTATTTTTAAAGAATTAGAAATAAAATTAATATATATAAGTAAGATCAAAGGGGTTCATATAAAATATCCTATATAATAACATGAGTTTTTAGAATTAGATTGTTTAAATAAACTATGTAAAGCTAATAGAGTTTATTGTCATTAATGTCTTAAAAATGGAGATCATGTTGTTCATCAAAAGGAAAATTTAATATCTAAATTATGTTGGATCGTTGAAGAAATATGTGAATTCACTATAGAATTAAATTAAGAATTGAGAAAAACATTTCAATTTTATAAAGAAAGATAAATGCAAAGCAATTGAATTAAGCTTTAGATTAAATAATTTAATTTGATGAAATTAAAATAGATTTATTAATGGAACTAGAGACATGTTCTGATAATATTTTCAATTGATTAAAAATACTAATTAAAAATTTGAAACTAAAGCAATAACATAATAGTTAATAATATAAATAAGAACAAGAAAAATAACATGTAGAAGTATTATATAAATAAGGTATTGATATGATTTATTTAGGTTATAAATTATATAATGATGATAGACGTAAGGAAGCAATAAGATTTTTCGATGCTGCATTATTCATTAATTCAAAGCATTTCGATTCATTATATTATAAATGTATATAAATTATAGATAAATGTATTAGCCTTGTGTTTAATGTAATTCATTATGATTATAATTTGAATATATATAAATTAAGTAATTATAATGATACATTGATATTGGTTGATAAAATCTTGTCTATTAATTCAAAGCATATCGATTCAATATCGACAAAATTTAATCATTCATTTCAAATATAGGTTAAACAATATATAATCAGTTTACAATAGTTAAAATTATTATGCACAATTGGTAAATATGAGGAAGGTCTTAAGATTATTGACCAAGCATTGAATTTTATACCAAATAGTTATTTCCCTTTATACGTAAAAGGTTTGTTATATTTATATAGGTGATTGCTTANAGCATCTCATAGCCACAAAGAATGGATGAAACCTAAATATTATAAGGTGAATTCATGATCTTTTTTTATTATAAGAATCTATAAAATTTGCAGATTCATATATTTATGGGGTATTGAGTGATGATGGAGAATATTTATCACATGGGATAGTCAATCCTCAAATATTCTATTAAAAAATTCAAATGAAGAAATTGATAATTTAATAATGTATATTTTTATGTTATCTTATTTATTTTATGTATATCTATTAAAGATTAAAATCATTTTATTGTAATCTTTTTTATATATTCTCTAATTATAGATTATGATCTCTGCTAAATTTGATTATTTTCTCATTGAGTTCTTTGATGTTTGTTATTTTCTGGATTTATATAATTTTAAAGAATGTTACTGTATAAAACTAATAGTATATCTCTTCCATCATAAAGCAGAGATACATAATATTATATTTGATTTAAAAAATAATTCTGTTAATAGATAAAAATATGTTATTATTTTTAAAGAATTAGAAATAAAATTAATATATATAAGTAAGATCAAAGGGGTTCATATAAAATATCCTATATAATAACATGAGTTTTTAGAATTAGATTGTTTAAATAAACTATGTAAAGCTAATAGAGTTTATTGTCATTAATGTCTTAAAAATGGAGATCATGTTGTTCATCAAAAGGAAAATTTAATATCTAAATTATGTTGGATCGTTGAAGAAATATGTGAATTCACTATAGAATTAAATTAAGAATTGAGAAAAACATTTCAATTTTATAAAGAAAGATAAATGCAAAGCAATTGAATTAAGCTTTAGATTAAATAATTTAATTTGATGAAATTAAAATAGATTTATTAATGGAACTAGAGACATGTTCTGATAATATTTTCAATTGATTAAAAATACTAATTAAAAATTTGAAACTAAAGCAATAACATAATAGTTAATAATATAAATAAGAACAAGAAAAATAACATGTAGAAGTATTATATAAATAAGGTATTGATATGATTTATTTAGGTTATAAATTATATAATGATGATAGACGTAAGGAAGCAATAAGATTTTTCGATGCTGCATTATTCATTAATTCAAAGCATTTCGATTCATTATATTATAAATGTATATAAATTATAGATAAATGTATTAGCCTTGTGTTTAATGTAATTCATTATGATTATAATTTGAATATATATAAATTAAGTAATTATAATGATACATTGATATTGGTTGATAAAATCTTGTCTATTAATTCAAAGCATATCGATTCAATATCGACAAAATTTAATCATTCATTTCAAATATAGGTTAAACAATATATAATCAGTTTACAATAGTTAAAATTATTATGCACAATTGGTAAATATGAGGAAGGTCTTAAGATTATTGACCAAGCATTGAATTTTATACCAAATAGTTATTTCCCTTTATACGTAAAAGGTTTGTTATATTTATATAGGTGATTGCTTACAATCATTATAAAGATATGAAAAAGCAATTATTTATTATGATAGGTCTATTTAAATCAATCCAAATTTTTTAATACCCAAAAATGGCAAGGGTATTTATATTAATTTATATCTCTAAAGTGTTAAATTCTGAGTGAGAGAGAAAAAACTTTCATAGATTGCGATTTAAGCTGGCTGAAGATTGACTTCATACTTCTTCTATTTTGAATGTTCTTAATTTTCCTCTTTTTTATTTTATTACATTAAAGTAACTTCATGCATCTTTTAATTGTTAATTTAATCAAATATCTACTTGAAATAATTGTAGCAAAAAGTAGCTTAACTACATTAAATAATAACTGAATAAAATGATAGAATAAATCATTTAGAAGAAGATAATTACAAATTAAAATAAAAGGATTGGTATCAAATATAAGAATCTATGTTAATACTTCAAAAAGCTGAAAAAAAAACATTAATTTATTTACTTTAAAAAATTATTTTGGAAATTATATTATCACTTGTTTGCAATGCAACAGATTATATTAAATGAACAAAGATGCTATGATAAAAAGCAAATCAGAAAAAGTAATAGATATATTTTAAAAAGTCTTTAATGTATAATCAAAGGTTGTAGGTGTTATCCAAATAGGTGGAGAAGCATTTGAACCTATAAATGAAGCACTCTTTTATGCAATTAAATAGAAAAAGAAAATAAATTTAAGGTCAGACTTCTTAAATTAACTAACATCTTAAATTTAAAAAAAATAATTTGCCCTGTAGAATTAGAAAATGAAATGAAAATAACAGCAGTTGAACTTGCCCAGAACAATAAGTAGATTTAGAAGGCAAAAACAATAAATGATTCGAGGAATTTGTAAAATAAACCGAGCAAATCAGAAATATAAGATGATGAAAATAATATATATTGGAAAAATGGCAACAATGATGCTTTTAGTCATTTTTAAATTTTTATAAGATTATTCATCAACTTATGATAAAAAGATAAGAGAAAAATATATTTATAGATGCTGTGGAGAAAAATAACAATATTTTAACCCAAATCTTACAATAATAAAATTCAACATCAATTTCTTAAGTAATAATAGTTTAAAGATGTGTTTTTATTTCATGAATTAATCATAATATATTTTAATTTTAAATAAAAATATATAAATTATAATTTCTATATAATATAAAAGTAAAATTTTTAAATATTAATTAATTAGATTTCTATGATTTAAACTTTTGCTTTATTTTTGCAATTCTTGTTATGCTTATCACAATGGATTAGTTCATATACAAATTTGATTAATGATAAGAATTTGACAACATTCTCTTAAGTTGGGCCAAGTAATAGCAATTATCTTGTATGCAATTCACCCTAAATAAAATACTTGACTTTAAATAGAGATTATCCTACTGCCACTCAGAAAAAATAAATTAGTTTAGAGAAAGGTAATCACATATCATTTGAATTAATTCTATAAGGTACTTGGTAAAATGGATAAATTTAATTTTAATTTGGAGCAGAAATAATTTCATTTTAATATTAAACTCCTAACTCGTTTGAAAACTTCTCAATCATTTGTGATTCTTACTAATCAGAAATTAAAACAATTAATTTTATTTTACAAAAATCAGATTCAAATATAATAAAATTTACAATGTCTAATGAAGGAAATGGATAGGTTTCAATTAGAAATTTATTAATATCAAAAATTAAATGCCATTATTTATGCACACAATGTAATGGCATAGAGTATAATTAATGTACTTAGTGTTTTTATGGAACACCTTTGGATGGCATTTGTAATGAATGTCCTCTAAATATGGTATTTAGACCTGGAATTGGATGCTCATTATTTTGCAATTATTAGGAATATCTTGACTTTAATCGACATTGTTAATAATATCCCAGTAAATTTTTATATAATCAAAAAAGGTAGGCAAATATTGTTTTCTGATTACTATATGGTTGAAGAGTAGGTTAAAATGGAACTTATATTAGATACAGAGAATACAAATCATATTCCCATTTATATGTCGTATGTTGGGAGATATGATCTTTTAGGGGTCTTTAGATATAACTAAGGAACTAAAAGATTGATAACTGAAGTAACAACTAACATTGGAACCTATTTAATTGGAATCAGAACAGTTATAATTCTTTATAATGAAATACCATGTGGTAGTAGCATTTCATTAAAAATTAATGACACTTATGCAGGGTCGGTATATAA